TAAATTTTATTAAAAGTTATTTAGTAAATTCTTTAATAATAATAAAAACAAAATCAACTTTGAATTTTAAAAATCACTCGCTTACACTAAATACTTTACATTTCTAGGTTTTGCCTTATGTTCCACAAACCACTGTATATACGCATATAAGAAAATAGATACGCCAAGAAATACGCAAAAAAAATTTTTTTATTAATGCGACATTGGTAATAATTGATCTTTTGACGTAATCATGTGTTACCCCTCTGTACATCATTTCACGATAATCTAAATTCAAATCAACGAATAATGCATGATTACATTTTTCACATGATTTTGCCGTAGTATTATAACGTAATGGTGGAGGTTAAAGCCTGTTTTGACACCAATAATAATGTATATGGAGGACAAAATTGAACCGGAAATTCTCAATGACGAAGACAAAAAAAGTTTAGACGAGGCTGCCGAGGGGGAGGAAGAAAACGATTCATCAGAAGAGGAAACTGACGAATATAGTACAGAATCAGAGGGCTCTTCAGAAGAGGATGAATCTATAGAAGAGGAAGAGCCAAAGTTAAAATATAAACGTCTGGAGGCCGACGTTGGAGATTTATTAAAAAACGATGCTGCGAGTGCGATGGCGGTTTCAGACAAATATGTGGTGCGTGAATTTAACTCGATTCGCGTTGAAAGGAATTCATTTCGTATTAATGTCTCTGAAATCTTTCGTAAAGGCTTTAGGGACGCACAACGGAGATGTTTTTATACTGGATTTTGATGGAAACCTGATCAAAAAATTCTCAACGCACTCAGCCACCGTTAATGACATATCGATTGACGCTGCCGAAGAATATGTTGCCAGTGCATCAATAGATGGTATATGTTTTGTGATATCTGACTTTTTTCAAAGATAATTCGTCGATAACCATTATTATTATTGCTAATATTAGGGAAAGTTGTTATTCATGGGATGTACGTCGATTCCGAACAAGTATTTAATTATCGACGTCCTCTTAAATGTGTAGCACTTGATCCTGATTTTAGTAAAAAGGATACTCAGCAATTTGTGTCGGGCGGTTTGGCTGGCCAGTTGATTCTAAACGAAAAAGGTATTGTATGTTAGTCGCCTTGTACACACTTGACTGTTGGGTTCTAATAGAAATCAAATAATCTTTCTTCCTAGGTTGGTTTGGTCATAAACAAGATCGAGTTCTTCAGCATTCCGGTGAGGGTCCAATTTATGCTGTAAGATGGAGAGGGAATCTTATTGCTTATGCAAACGATGAAGTATGCCATTATACTTTATTCAAGTCTTTAACCATTCATTCAATTTTAAGAATACTATGGATTTTAGGGAGTGAAAATGTATGACAATCAATCTCAACAAAGAATTACATATATAAAACGACCTCCTGGTAGTCCTCGAGCAGATTTGTACCGATGCAATCTTTGTTGGCGTAGTGACACTCAATTATTGATCGGGTGGGCAAATTATGTTCAATTTGCCATTGTCAAGGTATGAATTAGTAAGAAGTTTTGACCTAATTTTCGTAATGTGTATTACTCATATGTATTGTATTATAGGAACAGAACGTTTCTGGTCGGCCACCACTCTATGCAGAAGTTTCCATGTTAGTTTTTAATAATTTCTTATATTATTTAATTACTTGTTATTACTCCATCGTATTTATTGCAAACCTCTAATGGCTTTCTTAGGATACAAACCGACTTTATTGTATGCGGGATTGCCCCTTTCAATGATATGACACTGTTGCTGGCATATCTTACGGACGAAATTGTGAAAAACGAAGAAACGAATGATCCTGAGCAACATAAACGACCCGTACGTATAGAAATTCTATTAATATTTCTTAATTATTCCTAAAATGACCGATAACGAGCAGATCAAACTTATAGCGTGCAAAACAACCCGAATTACAAATAATGGATCCATCTAATGAAGTAATTTCAACAGACGCTTTACCGTTACATGGATATCATCATTATCAAGCAAATGACTATATACTTGGTTATTTTCCATCTGAAGATATGTTTTATGTTGTTAGCCCTAAAGACCTTGTCTTGTCAAGACCACGTGATCTGGATGATCATATCAGTTGGTTGCTGGAACGTTCCAGGTATGAAGAGGCATTGAAAGCTCTTCGTGAAGCTCAGGTGTGGGGGGGAAGTAAGGTTTATGATCTAACGGAAGTCGGAGGGAAATATTTAGCGCACTTGGTAGAAACAGGTCAGTGTTTTTATGAAGGGGATGCATTCTCTTTTTTTTTATTTCAAAGTAAGTTCTAACTAAAAAAAAAAAAAAATAAATAAAACCTCAATACTCTAATAGAGGAATACTCTGAAGCTGCAAAGAAATGCCCCGAAATTTTAAAGAAAAGTAAAGACTTATGGGAACATTGGGTATTCATATTTGCAAAATATCGGAGATTACAGGTGAATATAATATAATATATATATTTATCAATTTTCGTGTTTTGACTAATTCGAACGCTTCCATTATTTGTATTGAACAGGAAATTACACCATATGTACCTTTTGAAGATCCACAGCTAAGTAGTACTGTTTACGAAATGGTCTTGGCTCATTTCTTGAACTATGATCACCAGGTATTATGGGATATTTTATTCTTAGCAACGATGCTTACTGCTTTCTAATTTTTTTTTTTTTTTTTTTGTTCACCAAATTTCACAGTCGCTATGTGAAACCATAATGAGATGGCCATCAACAATTTACAATATCTCAAGTGTAACGGAATTGGTAGAAGACAGTTTAGAAAAGGAACCTGATAATAAAACTCTAATGGAGTGTCTTGCTGAACTGTAAGTCAATTTGATAGACTATTAAATATCATTATTTATTACTTCACATACTCAATTTCTTGATTATCATAGATATGCTTATAATCAAGAACCTGACAAAGCTCTCGAGTATAACCTTCGTCTTCGAAGACCAAACGTATTTGACTTAATAAGAGAATATAATCTATTTTCTGCTGTGCAAGATAAGGTAGTCCTTCTGATGGATTTTGACCAACATTTAATGTCGGAAGCCGAAAAGGAAAAAGAAGAGAAAGACAAGGGACAAGATCTGACGAAAAGTAATGATGCGAGAATTTCAAGAATAAGGAAGGCCACGGAAATGCCAGCAGTACAATTATTGATAGAAAATACAGATTCAGTGCCAGTATGTATTCAACGATGTTAGGTGATCAATTATTGCCATAACTAATTTACTCGTGCTTTCATTAGATTCCTCATGTTGTAAGTCAGTTGAGACGTTATCCTATGTACTTGCACATCTATTTGGATGCATTGTACATCCGAGATATTCATATGGGTTACGAATTCCATAACGACCAAGTAGGCTTAGAAAATTATTTGTCCTTCCTTTATTCACAAATTTTTAACATCATATATAACTTTCCAGGTAGAGTTGTATGCTGAATATGATTATCCTAGACTGATGAAGTTCTTAGAAACTAGTCATTATTATTACGACCCCGAAAAAGTATTTTTCCCGTTTGTTATTTTATCGTAACGATAGCTATAAATACAAGTCGATTAAGATATATTTTACACATAAACTCGATAGGCATATGAGATTTGCAAGCAGAGAGATCTCGTTCCGGAAATGGTATTTCTCCTTGGACTTATGGGTCATAAGAAGGAGGCTCTGATGTTGATCATAGATCGTTTAGGAGATGTTCAATATGTAAGTTCCAATGTTCGACAATCTATTATTCTCTCTTAATTTTATACCTTTGCCTATCATAATCTTTTATCAAAG